AACAACAACTCTGCAGCGCGAGTTGAACAGAGCGAGGGGGGAGGCGGTGTTTTCAAAGGAATTTAAGTAAATGTTACAAATGACCGACGCAGCGAAAACTGTTTGACCCAAGTCCTCCAAAGAGTGGGAGCTCTTCACAAAGATAAAAACTGAGAAACATGCGGCTTTGAAAATTGACGACACGACACGGGAGAACCACGGAGATAAACGTAAACATGTCGGAGTCACGAGGAGGAGGAAGGAGCAGCAGATGATACAACATGTCTCACTCCCAACTCGTGTTGCAGGTGAGTCTCTACAATATTCTACATTTGTTCTGTTTCCATGTGAGAAAACGTAACGTCAGTCTCTCTGGTAGCTGAAGCTGCTGTTGCTTGTTTGCTGATTAATGATGGTGATAGAGAACGTGTGTGTTACTTTTTATTTCATTTAATTGGTACAAGCAGTGTTTAAATGTGATTTATAAATAAATCTAACACAAAAATAATAATTTAATGATTAAGCTTCAACTTTTAATTTGCTGGCAAAGTCTGAAGACACTGCAGGTAAGGCAGGATGAATTGCATTTAAACAGGAATTAAAGTAATTTATTACATCTACTCAAATGTGTGCAATTAAGTATTTTATATATGTGTGTGTGTGTGTATGTGTGTTTAATTGCTCTTTTAGCTACCTTTGCCTGAACCTAACACTGTCAGTGAAACAAGGCATTGCTTGAGTTGCTGTAAATTATACTATAATACATATTTCCTTTCTCATTCCAGAAAACAACAACAAACAATGACAGCCTTCATGTTGGAGAGACATCATGGACACCACAGCAGCAGCTGTCTTCACTGAAAGCATCTTTAACATGATCATCAGTGACATGAGGCCTCTGTCGATGGTTGAAGACAAAGGCTTCACTACAATGATCCACACTTTTAATCCAGGTTACAATAATTCACTTTTAGGCCAGGTTACAATAATCAATACTTTTAATCCAGGTTACACTCTTCCCTCAAGGACACATTTTACAAAGTAGACTACATATTGTGCAGGTATAAAGCATACATTTGTATATATTTTTGTGTACATTTTTTATTTTAGCTATTTGACTAACTTTTATATTTTATTATTCAATATTTTACTAACAGAATAGTCAAATAGCAACCTGTTTTTTGTGCGAATTGCTGTCAGTCAAATGTTCGATTTTGGAATAAAGGGGTGACAATTAAAACATTGGGTATATTTTTGCCGATTCATTGATTAATCGGGAAAAAATAATCGGCCGATGAATCGATTATTGAAATAATCGTTAGTTGCAGCCCTACTGTACACATTCATGTGTTTATAAACAGATTTGAGATTCATTTCTCTGCAACAGTTCCAGCTATCTCAGACTGCAGAGAGTGAATGTTTCCCATAAATTTAACAGCAGTCAGTCATATGGATGCTTCTGTAGGGGAACACCACCTCAGAAACAGTTCACCACCTCAGAAAAAGAACACCTCATCTCAGAAAACAGTTCATCTCAGCTTAAACAGAAAAAGGAGTTCACCTCATCTCAAACAAACATCATTCATGTGTTTTGTGTTTAAACTGTTTAAAATAAGATGCATCTATTCCCTTGGGAACAAACAGACTTCGCTTTACAGGTGTTCAACTCAGCACTAACTTAGTTGACACTAATGAAAGTGTAATAAAAAAAAACTGTTACTGTGCTAACTTCACTTTCAATCTGAACTCATTTCCCATGAAGCGGACAGTTCATTTTAATGAGTTTGGTTCAACTGACCTCGAAGTGAAACATCTGCCGAGACTAACTTTTATCCAAAAAAAGGAGTATTACTCCCAGGATGGGTTCTCATGGAGATAACACATTTTAAAGAACCCTTTGTTTAAATGACATTTTCTTTTCAGGAGATGAACAGCGACACCTTTTGATGAACATTGCATGTTATTTCAAAAGCTTCAGAACTGAATGTTTATTTATGAAAATGTCTGTTTAAATAATCTCTCTTTAAGATAATCACTTGTCTTACGTTTTTCTCTTTTAAAAAGAAGAGTGACTTTTAAAGACAGACAGAGAAAATGGACATTAGATGTTATAAAACGTGAAAGAGTTAGGACCATCCCTCTTCCGAGAGGTGGACCAAAGTCAATCTGTAACACACATACAGTTAAGTTAAGCTTCACTTCTTCATTTCTCCTTCGTCTTCATCACTACTTCAATCACCACTTCTACTTCTACACAACCCACTTCAACTTCCTCCTAGTGAGATATCCTTAGAAGGAAGAGAACGAGAGAAGCAGCTTTTTCTGCAAATGTCTCAGGACGAGAGAACCTGACCGAACCAGAGCCATCGCACCGCAGAGTGATAAGTCCCAGCTGACTTCAGAGCCAGTGGCCGGACCTTCGTCCCTTCAACGGTGATCGGTGACTTTTGAGGACACAATCCGCCTTTCAGTCACCGGAGCCTCTCAGGCCTTGCTGGTATCATTTTAAGCAGTTGTGGAACATTCTGACAGCTCATTCTGGTGAGAAAGAGACCTTTAATGCCTTTCTGGTGATCATACATCACAATAATATTGCTTTATACACACTACAGCTCATTTAGACACAATTTCAACTACTTTACAAACAGAACTAGTCCAAAATCTGCCTTTTTAAGTTTCACTGATTTGAATAACCAACTAGACCTTTGATGCAAAACTATTTCGTTATTCATTGGTTTGTTATGCATAATCTTTATCAGATATATCACAGATTATTATTTTTGTAATAAAATACATAAAATCAACTAAATTTATGATTATTTTGGCATATCTGTGTGTTTTAACTGATTTGATGCCCTTTAAACACGAGAAAAGAATTCACATTTCAGTTTACATTTAATTTGGGGGTTGGAAACTGATTTTTCCTCTGAAAAGAGGTGGTGCCCATACAAAACAAGGTTATTTGCATAATAAATGCATATCTTATGAGCTTAACTCATAACTGATAATTTACAATATATATCCAACCCCATATCCCTCTACACTTCATATACACTGTTCTCAACTAACCACCCTAAACACACACAGAGTCTTGTGAGCTCACAATCGACCTTACAAACTGAACATTAAGTGTCATTTTGGTTTAAAAAATATGCATAATATTTATTTTATATTAGGCATTTCTCCCCCATTAGTACACTCAAAAAGATATTTTAACAATTAAAAAAAATTCTAGACCTGAGTTTTGAGAAGACCCTCCAGACCACTGAACCCTACAGATCCACAAGCCAAAACTGAGGCCTTGATTTTGATCAAACTAAATCCTGTCTCTGTGTTAGGAGATGTAGAGGTTTTTATATTTAATGTTGCCATTTTTTAATGATATTTAATAATTTTAACTCTAACCTTGGACAATTCCATTTTCTGATCTACTGTTTTGCTTGTACTGGCCTGAGTTTACTAGTGAGCTGCAGGAGCATGATGCACCTGCTAATGACGTCCTGCCTTGGGGAAGCCAACAGCAGTCAGGCATTTTCAGCTGTAGAACATCTGATTCTGCAGCCTGCATGCATGTGAAGCATCATTTCAGTGCTAAATGTTTACTTGTGGGCAGCACGGTGGAGCAGTTGGTAGAGCTGCCACCTCTCAGCGAGAAGGTTGCTCCAGTTCAAATTCTGACCTTTCTGGGTGGAGTTTGCATGTTCTCGCTGTACATGCGTGGGTTTTCTCCAGGTACCATACCATACCATACCACTTTATTTATAGAGCACTTAAAACAGCGACAAGGCCAACCAAAGTGCTGAACAGACAAAACAACAGGTAACACACAAAGCAAAATACAAAATGAGGTAAATCAGAATATAGACATAAAAACGATGCAGATAATGACGACTAACCAGTGTGGAGCATACAGCAACAAAACACAGATCATCTGGTGTTGAAAGCTATTGAATAGTAGTAGTAGTAAACGGGACTTGAAAACCGAGAGGGAGGGGGCCTGTCTGACAAGCAGAGGTAACTCGTTCCAGAGTCTTGGTCCTGCTACAGAGAAGGCCCTGTCACCTCTGCGCTTAAAACGAGTTCCTGGAACTGTGAGGAGCAACTGGTCCACTGACCTTAGGGAACGTGGTGGGACATACGATTGTAGCAGATCAGAGAGATGGGGGGGGGCGAAACTGTTCAGTGATTTGTAGACATACATCAGTATTTTGAACTGGATTCAAAAGTGAACCAGTAACCAGTGCAGGGAGGCCAAAACCGGTGTAATGTGCTCTCTTTTGCCTGTATTGGTTAAAAATCGGGCTGCTGCATTCTGGACCAGTTGTAGTCGTGCAATGGAGGTTTGACTGATACCAAACAGGAGTGAATTGCAGTAATCAAGCCTAGATGTAATGAATGCATGTATTACTGTCTCCAGGTTATTTTTGGACAATATGGGCTTCAGTTTAGACAACCGGGTACTCCGGTTTCCTCACACAGACCAAAAACATGCATGTTAGACTGACTGGTAACTCTAAATTGTCCTTAGGTGAGAGTGAGAGAGTGAATGATTGTTTGTCTCGTTTGTCTCTTTGTGTCCATATGATGAACTTGAGACCTGTCCAGGGTGTCCCCTGCCTCTGCTGGATATGGACACCAGTGACCCCCGGCACCCAAAAAGGAAGAAGCGGGTAAAGATAATGGATGGCTGGTGCACATTAAGGTCGTTTTCACACCAGATAGTCCGGTAGACTCAGTTCGGTTAACTAATCAGTGCTTTAGATCACATTCATACACCGATGGGACACACATCAGAGGCTATGAGGGGTTCAGTGTCTTGACCAGGGACACTTTGACATGTGACTGCTGGTGGATTTGAACCCCCAACTCTTGCATTGGAGGACGACTGCTCTAACCACTCAGCCACAGCCGCCCC